AATATAACAGAATAAAACACATGATTTATAACACGTCATTTAACAGAATAAAACACATTGATTTTATAACACGTCATTTAACAGAATAAAACACATTGATTTTATAACACGTCATTTAACAGAATAAAACACATTGATTTCATTTGAAATGATATTATGTTGTCCAATGAAAAATTACCTTAATATTTATAAAAAAACTAACATTTTACGTTACCTACACAAGAATGTCAATTCATTACCAAAACTTATCTTATTGAGATCAAATGAAATTACCAATGTCTTAGTTTTTCTCTTCATCAATAAGCCCGTATCTCTTCCACAGATTCACCCGTAAGTATTGCATCTACTCTACTATTATTACAGATCCTTTTCCTATTAACATTGATCCTTTGGGTATCAGTAATTACCTCTCTCATCAACCGCTCTTCCTATAAATATACTGTTGGTGCCAACACACATCCTTGTTGTAACTGCAGACTTAATGTTTAATGTACGAATCATTTCATATTTTCATTAAAATAAAGATTAACGTATGACTTCCACACTTTATTCTACAGCAATAAAACACTCGTTTGAATACCTTTTGTTTACACTTCCATCCTGTGTCCATAACTTACATATATAGTTTTTCATAATAATAGTGATGGTAGAGCAAATGTTTCACTAAATTATGTTAATACCATTTAGAAAGGACTTTATTCTAGCCTCAAACTTTCCATAAACAACTTGTACATATTATTTTATCTAAACTTCAAAATTTTCACTTAAACAAACCGATAGAAATTTGAAAACTATCACAAGTACTTGGGTGTAATTCTGAGTTATTTAATGCAGGTTCAACAGAAACAGGCAAGGAACAATAGGGAACAGTTAAATTAAATTAAACAAGGAAAAACTTGGTGCAGGGCAGTTAAAACAAGTTCAATAGAAACACCCAATAAAGACAATAAACCTGGAATGAAAATTTCTTACTTAGAACACATTCTACAGACAGCGAAATGGGACGTCTGA